CTTATACTAGCATATTTAGCTACTTATACTAGCATATTTAGCTACTTCATTGAGTCTGTTCTTCAGACGGTGAAGTGATGAACAACCTGAACAGCTCTGAGGTGTATCAGTATCTACACTGTAATAAAGTCGGTGGTGTTTTGTTAAGAGGTGGGACACAATCTTATTGACCTTAAATCAGACACAGAGCCCAGACAAACCAGTCAAACCAGTCAAAGCCTTAAAGTCCTCCATCACTGAACTTGGGTTAATTACAGAGAAAATCATAAAACTGAAGATGAACAAATACTATAATACTGTGACCTCCATACACTTGAAATCAAACCTGATGTTCTCGTCACCGTTTTCAATCCTTCTGAGGATCCGGCGTCTCTTCTCCGGTGGTTTATTGTCGTCCAGACACAAAGTAGGATGCAGGTTCTCCTCAGTCGGCCATTTGTCAACAAAGTGAAATGAGCACACAGACAGGGTTTGGGGTGGTCTCTTCAAGTTCATGTTTTTCAGCCACATTCTTCTTAACTTCTCATCTGTAGGGAGGAGATGGAAACTAGACCTCTTTTCACAGGAACTCTTTTTGTTTTGGTCCATGTTCAAACTCTGTTGTTGTAGCCACTGATTTAGTTTGGTCTGGTTGTTCTGCAGCCGTGAACACAACAGGTACCTGAACTCAGCACGGCTATTTTAGTCAACTTTATGGTTGTTAAATAATTGTAAACAAACAAATACTTAATTATTTAATAATATATATTGTATTATTATATAATATATTATTATACCTAATAATTTTATCTGCTAAACTGAATGCAAATTACTTTTAAATAAACCTCGGTCCGTGCTCCACCACCATGATTAACCAATGCTAACTGCTACTTCCTGTCTGACAGGAAATTGTTCCCATAATTATTTATACAGTAGAGCCCCCAGGAATAAGGTGGATAAAACATGGAATAACACTGAAGTGAAGTATTTAACATCTTTTTCTTTTCTTGTAGGACCTGACCGCTCCTCTCCAGTTCCATCCTCCAACAGTCCCTCCCCACCGGCATCTTTAGGACCGTCCCCCACCCAGGCCCCCTCAACTCTGAGTCAGCCCCCCTTGATTCTGCAGCCCCTGGCTTCTCCCCTGCAGGTGGGAGTCCCGCCCATGTCCCTCCCCATCATCCTAAACCCCGCCCTGATCGAGGCCACGTCACCAGTGCCGCTGCTTTCTGGACCCAAACCTGTGAGTCCCTCTGACGAGGTCCAGTAAAGTCCACCTGCTTTCACGAAAACAGACATTTTGAGTTAAAGTCTGCAGCTTGTTTAAAGGACCCCCACCACCACCCCACCCTCTGCTCAAACGCACAGGTTGTTTCCTTTGTGCCATTTTGTGTTGCTCCCTGATTTCACTCAGTCAACCACTTAACGGGGACAAATCCAGACCGTTAGTCCGGTTCCTGATCACAGCACCACAGGCTCGTACTAACAGAAGACACATTCAGTGGCTGTTTTCTAGCCAAGATAACTTAGAACATTTTATATTTATCTGATTGAGACAATAAAACGTATAAACTGACTACGTCCCCCCAGTTGAATTCTTAGATGTGCAGATGGATTTAGACGATAAAACCAGTTTTATCTTAAAATACAGACTTTAACATGGTAGAACTTCCTGCAGGATTGACGCTTCACTGAGGACGGTGACAGTAACTTTGTGTGGACCTGAGTCAAAACAACACATCCAGCTGTCACAGCTGTTTTTGTCTTTCTCTGAGACATTTTAACTTGAAGACCTTGTATCTTTTCTGATAAGCCTGAAGGTTGTTTAGTGTGGAGACCTCTGTCATCGGTGAAACTGACGGGGTTTTAGCAGCTCACGCCTCAGCTGGACGTCAGCAGATCAGAAGTGTAGAGAACTGTTCACACGTCACTTTGTGTTTCAGTTGCCAAAGTCCCTTGTGCTGTCCCATCAAATGGAGTTGTTTCATTTACGCCTCTTCATGTTGAAAACGTTTCATTTTAGGCACATTACAAAGGATCATGTGCACATGGAGTCTTTCTCCGAGACGTTCCATGAGACCACGTCACTGCAGCGCTGGTTCAACTCCTCACCAGCAGCTCCATGTTCATCATTCGCTTGGAAACTTTCTAAAACACAACCAGTCGTGACCCAAGTGACTGTTCTGACTTCCTGTCAGTGTGATCATGATCCTTCAGTGACCTGGAAGAACACGGGTTCAGTGAGTGGGCGCTCAGTGACAGCTGAGCTTTTCTCCACTACGTCACTTTACAACTCGTGGTTTGACGCCTCCAGCTGCTCTCTGCTGCGCTGCGTGATGAGCGGGACTGAAACGACCTTCAGCTTTCAACATCATGAAGTGGTCGAGTCTTACTGGAGCAGAATCCAGTCCAGACCACTCTGAGGGGAAATCTTCTAGTCTTACAGGAAGTGCTCAGTTGAGGTCTGGTTTGCTTCTTTAGACGTGGGCCGACATCGCTGCATGCTGACTGGGCCTCGTGTACGACCACGTGTGATCTGAGCGTTTGAAGTCAACCCAGCGTTTGACATGTGTAGATATGGACTGGGAGCTCTGGCTCTGTTCAGTGTCTCACTGGTATTTAATGTTATTTATTGACTGGTCTCTGCAGCGTCCACCTGGTCCAGTAACTACAGCCTTACAGCCCCCGCCGTGGGTCCGTTTGTTCCATTAGTTTGATCAGGAGCTACATTTGTGCTTGAAAGGTGACTCCATGAACATGTGTACAAATCTATAAATATAAATTAAAAGTAATGTGCTTTCTACAATGTAATAAATATAATGTCAACATTTTTGGTGTTTGTGATGGTTTTTTTTTTCTTAAAAGGTATTTTGGGTTTTAGATTTAATTTCTTACAAACAATAGAAATGTTCAAATGTTTGAGTTCTTATAAAGTTTGTTAAACATGAATGTAGTCATGTGACTTTGTGCTAATGTGGCAAAAGTATGAAGCCAAGGTTGGTGTATCATCAACAATTGGGGGGGGGGGGGGGGATTATGTGGTCTTCACCATTTGTCATAATTAAAATATTCAATTCAAAAATACTTTATTATCCAAAGGACAATTAAATAATTAAAAATATGCCCCCAGATGATCCAAAACATGTATAAACTATGTGACCAGTTTACACAGTAGCTGGAACCAGTGGACCTTTGTCTTCAGAACTACCTGTGTTTGTTCTGAATTCAAGGTGTTGGAAAGTCAATTGTCGTTGTGGAGGATTGTCGGCCCACTCTTCTTTACATCATTGTTTCACTTCATTGAAGTTTGGAGACATGATGGTCCCACCTCAGCATTTCAGTCAGGTTCAGGTCTGGACTGTTGGACTGGGACTGATTCTGATGTAGATTTCCTGCTGTGTTTTGGGATTGTTGTTGTTTCATGGCCCACTTTGGTCCAAACGTCAGCGGTCAGTCGACTCTGACTGCAAGGTGCCCAGGTTCTCCTGGGGCTAAAAACCAAGCCCACATTATCACCACACTGTCACTGTGCTTTACAGTTGGTATTAGGAGCTTGTGCTCGTTTTATTTTTTTAACCAAACGTAGCACTGTGCATTATGAATAAACATCCTTACTTTGGTTTCATTGTTCCACATGTGCTTCATTCAGATACAAGGTAACAAACTTCAGTCATAATGGCATGTTGATTTTAGAGCGATGACACTTTCTCCTGGTGTTTTCCAAGGAGCCAGAGCTGTTGCAGATCTGATGTTCAGGTTTCCTGATGCCGCTCAATAATCCAGGAAGAAGAATCTAAAAAGCTGAGTCAGGTCCTCTGGACGGGTTCTTCTTGTTGAAACGTTTCGTCTCAGTCAGTCTGAGGAGCTGCAGTGAACTCAGTCTTATAAATAGCACCTTCTCATGGTGGATCAACCAGTTTGTCGTTGACATCCAGAACCAGCTGTTCACATGATCAAGGAGGACCATCAGCGCCCCGATGGCTGCAGAGAGCTGAGTGATGCTAGCTCTGACCTTCTGAAGGTGTTTTTAGCTCTCAGCATTGCACAGGCTGACTGAGGTGCACGTCTGGATGTCTGTTTTCTACTTGTGGATGATCATTAAATATTTTTTAATCAACAAAGTAATGACAGGTTCAAAGTCTGAGCAGGTTGGTGTAAAATATCAGATTTATTCAAAGCTGAATGAGACACAACTTTTAGTAAACTATCAGAAACTACAAAGACGAGAAGAAAAGACCGTACACAGAATGCTGTTAAAAAAGGAGAACCGTGAAATAAAGACAGATGTCAAACTAAAGATGGAGGAGATCTAAAGAACGCCCAACGAGACAAGTGGAACAAACGTGAACGGCTCCTTGAAATCACAAATACTGTTTCCCACTGCGAGGAGACTACCCCACATTAAAAGCCCTACAGCTGTATCCCCACCCACACCAACGGCAACAATTAAGAAAACCACCCCCCCACCCCAGAAAGGAAAGCGATCCTCACTTGCTGTCCAGCTTGGCCATTTCCTGTAGGTATACTCCAATGCTCTCGCTGTCAAACAGCACAAAGTAAATGTTTTTCAGAGAGGAGCTGGTGGACGACACGAAGTGGTTGGAGACGGCCTTCAGGATGAGCTGAGCGGCCGTTTGCTTTGGAAAACCGTTCCTGAAAGAGAGAGAGAGACGGAGGAGGGTTCAGGTGACTACACTCAGGAAGTGGAGCGGCTGCAGCTGGTGGAGATGTGGAGGTGAGAACATGACTGATGAAATGGGTTTGGATGGATTTTACTGACAGGTTCCCAGGATCCAGTCCTTTAGCTCTTCATACTGCCTGCTGCTCAGTCGGGGACACATCTGCCTCTGGCTTTGTTCAAAGCATTGAAATCCAACAAACGCTGTGATGTTTCACATCTACTGTTACGGCCCCTGGCCTCTAGAGGCTGTGCAGTCTCTCTTTGTTCAAGCAGATTCAGGTGTGGGAGCACACTCAGCTGATTGGCTGCCAGGAGGCTGCAGAGCGGCACCACCACCGGACCAGCAGGAGATCACCACACCAGTCACATGATGAGGTCCACCTGCACCCTATAAAAGCTCCTGGAATCATTCCTTCAGTGGGGCAGTTTGGAGTGTTTTGTACAGCTGACTAGGGCTTTAACAGACTACTCAAGTAATCTACACATCAATTCCTAGGACACCTATCGAGGTTTTTAATTTCATGTCGAGTATTCGTGATGACGTCATTACGTCGCTGTTACGTCATCGTGTCACGTGATCCGCATCGGGCGCGGGTTACAAAATGGGTTCCTCCCACCAGATGGATGGAGCAGAGCAGGCCCAGTCTTGACAAACAGGTAGAAATGCATCAATAGTCTGGAAATATTTCACTAAAGATTAATCTTCCGGTTCAACTACAATAAGGAAACAGAAAATGAATCAACTTCCTGACTGTTTGGAGCTCGTTGCAACCGGTGTTATACCATATTCTGTGACCACCGTATATTGTGACCATAGGGGGCGGTGTTGCATGCACTGTTGCAGGTCACAGAATATGGTGTAACACCGGGTCCAATCCACCGAGCCAGAACCAGCTTCCTCCGACCTTATTTCACAAACTAAAAGCAAAAAATATTAATCTTTAAACCTATAAAAAACATATTAATCTCTAAAACTAAACTAAATCCGCACCACAGCTGGCGGTGGTGCAGGTGGTCGACCCCCCCACTGTTTTTAGTTTTGTTTTTGACGTGCTGCACGTTTCTCACACTTTTGCAGCTTAATAATAAAAACTAATAGTTTGGTTTTTCCTGTGACTTACTTGCAGTTTGATAAATGGTAGGAGCATAATATACTCTCCCAATGTTTTGTTGGTCTTTTTTTGTAAATAATGACCTTTTTTGTGGTTTTATTTATTTATTTTGGCATCTTGAGATCCTATGATGTCATCAAGTACTCGAGTTCTAATCGAGTTTTATTATGTTAATGTCGAGTTTAAAAATGATGTAGTTGTTCAACCCCTAGTTTGTACAGCTGACCCCCTTTTCCTCTGCTTAGCACCTTGTTCTTGAGTCTGACTCCGGCTGGTCGATCTAGAAACTTGTATTTGGAAAGTCTGATGAACCGTTAATGTTGTTTTGAGTCTGGACTGACTTCTTTGGTTATTTTTATTTAAGTTATTTAATTGTTGTGGCTGCACTTGACCCACTTTAGTATGTTTTTGTTGGTCCAGGTGTGTTTGCCTGTTAACTTGGTTAAAGTGTACTGTCTTGTCTGTGGAACCTTTTCTTTGTAATAAACATCTTTTAAACTCCATCTTTTGTTTCTCTGGACACATGTGATGCTCCACCCCCTGATCCCCTACACCTGGGGGTGGAACATCAATGAAGCACGTGATGGGAGTTGTAACATTTTGTGCTGTTTGTAAGTTTGCAGCACACGGTCAGTAAAGGTTCTGATCAGGTCCGGTTGAACTGTGTGTCAGGAGCTGCTCACCGTCCGGCAGGAAGTGATGGGAAGGCCACGGACTTCAGCTTCTTCTCCTCAGCTGCTGAGAGGCAGTTCTTCACCAGCTTCTCCAGCTGGTCCTCGCACTTCTCCGAGCCCCACTGTGGGACGTTACAGTGGATGACGAAGCGGGCTGCCATACCGTTGGCCTGGCTCACTGCCACTGCAGGACACACACAAAAACCACTGCACCACCTGACAGCAGGACTGACTCAAATAAACACGAGGACCTGTGAGCGCTGAAGAAGCTGAAAACTGAGGTAATGCTAAAAGAAGTAAACACTTGATATATGCCAACACAAGCAAAAACTAAAGGCCAAAGCAGGTAAATGCTAAAAGCTAAAAGCTGCAAAATGCTAATTAAGTTGGAAAAAACATAAGCTAAAGTTCAAAAGTAGCAAGGGGCTAACTAAAAGCTAAATATAGCAGAATACTAGCTAAAAACTAAAAAGAGCAAACACTAGCTAAAAAACTAAATGGTCAAAATCCTAAATAAAAACACAAAAGTAGCTAAAGAGTAGCCACTGTAAAACAATTAAAATCTAAAAAGAACCCACTAGCTAAAAGTAGCAAAACACGACTACAACACTTGGTAAAAGCTAAAAGTGAAAATGAGCAAAACACTAGTGAAATGACACAAGTAGCTAAATTCTTACATGGAAGGTAAAAGCAGCAAGTGGCTAAGTAAATGCTAAATGTAGCAAAAGACTAGCTAAAAGCAAGAGGTACATATTTTTAAAAGTATAAAAGACACATCTGAATAAGAGTTTGCAGACATGATTAGACTGCAATAAACGTGAAAAAATTAAATCATGATTCAGAGGTCGCACCATTTGCAGGTAAACTGCTTTACTTTCCTGAACTGAACTGGAATGAACTGGTTTTGAACCAATTGTTTCTCTTTTAAGCTTAATTTAACCAACAGTTACAGCTTTTCACTGCAGAGGAGGTTCAAGTTGATTTGGGTCTCTGGTGCCACTGAGGCGCTGATACGAGTCCACCTTCCTGGGTCAGTGTGTACCTGATGCCACCTCCAGAGGCCCCTGCACTTTGCGCAGCTCCTTAACGGCCTCCAGGAACTCTCGGCCTCCAGCTTTCTCCAGTGCATTTCCTGAAACAGCAGCACAGCAGCTGAACATCACCTGAAGTCTGTCAGCTAAAGAATGTGCACACGAGCAGGTCTTCCTTACCGACTCCATCTTTGAGGTCCAGCTCTGCGTTCGTTGGGTTTATGATTCCCTCCACCTTGATAGTTCCGATCTTACTGACCTCACTCTCTGTCAGGGAGAGCTGGGAACAACAGAGACATGAGCAGGTGGGCTCACCTTGTACTCACTTTACTGGTGCAGCTCTGGACTGAACGGAAATGAAAAATTTGACTTCCATCTGTTGACTTCCTTAAAATGACCTGGTTCACAGAGCTAGTATCTTACCTGTTGTAGACAGGTCTTTGAACCACCTCAGTTTGGAGAGAGGGTTTATTTCTGACAGGATCCATGAGTTAATGGTCAGAACAGGGCCAAGACCAAAATGAAGTGCAGAAATGTGATTTTTAATTGGACCTACTTACTGTCAGCACGTCACTTCAGTCCAAACAAGACCAATGTGCATCGCTGCCATTTTTAAATGACTCCAGACTCACAGTTTTTATAACAGTAGTTAATGCTATTTTTATTCATTTGTTTTTTGCATTAAATTACTGCTGACCAAAAAAATCCTACTCAAGTGCCTTAGGCTGCACTGGAAGTGCTGCAACTTCCTGCTGCCGCCGCGGTCTGCCGTGTAAAATGCCAACTAATAAAAGTGCAGGACAATTTGGCAGCAATGTAAAGATTTAATGGAGTTGGTGTGAGCCGTTCTGAATCTTGTCTGACTGGAGTCATTTTAAGACGGCAGCAATCCACTTTGGTCTGCTCCGACTAGCCAGTAGCTCATCAGTCCAGTCAGGATTCAACGCTTCCCCAAACTGAGAGGGTTCAAAGAGCTGCTCATCTTATCAGCTCAGCTGTGGTCCCCCGATGACCAAATGTTACCTTCTGTCCAAGAAACAGGCTCTTGGCTGACAGGATGGTGAATCCGTCTCCTGGTCCATCTTCCACAGAAGAACTCGGCACAGACTCTTTGTTGCTCTCCGTGTTCTTTGACAAGAAACAAAACGGTCCATTAAACACACGCTGACATCACAGTTTCAGTCAAGTAATAATCTGTAGTGAGCACGCAGCTGCTGTGTCACGCTGGGAAACATGAGATTATTGCTACTTATTATTAATATGATCAACGATTGTGTTTTGATTCACTTGGTGACCTGTGATGTTGTTGCTAAAGAGCTTTAGCTTCAGCTGAAGCCAACTTGCCCTTCAGCTGTAAGAGTAGCTGCACTTCTCTCTGCCAGCTCTTTGGTTGTTCCAAGTTTCTTATGGTTTATATCAGGCTAACATTATTGTTTCATGTGTGGGAGAAAACACCGCATGTTCTGAATGTTAACAGAAAAGTAGAAGCTGCAGCTGCATCTTAAACACTTTCAGGCGTTTCTCTCTCTTTCATTCAGGCCTGATAAAAACAACACAGCTAAAGGAGTGATGTCATTCTTTAATTTAATGATGTGATCTGTTCAATTTACTGGATCAGATATTAGAGGTCTAAGTGAAGATCTCGTAATGTATTTAGTAAAGCGTTTAAAAAATAAGCATTTCAGTTAAAATGAACTGAATCATGATCGGAAAGAAGCAGAATGACTTGTTCTGAAATAATCTGTGCCGATTCTATTTATTTGTGAACTGGAACAATACGTTAACAGAATTACACTAAGCTGTGAAAAATCACAGTTTATGTTTCAGAATAAGTGAAGTGTGGAGCCCATGAATGACAGGTGTTTGACAGGTGTTTGACAGGTGTGAGTTCACCTCTGCAGACTCACCTTTGGCTTGCGGCCTCGTTTCCCTTTGAACTTTTTAAAGGATTTGACGACCTTCTTGTTCTTGGAGCGCTCCTGCTGCTTCTCGGGCGCAGACGTCTGGGTGTCCACCTTCACCCGGCCTCCTCTCTTCTTGGAGAGCAGCTCTGGGTGGATGCGAGGCAGAACACCTCCGTTTGATATGGTCACTCCCCGTAGAAGCTGAAGAACAGATTTATTTTTACTCAGTCCCAGTCTCATGTGTACAAGCCATACTCTGACAATAAAGTGATTTTATTCTTTAAATAAATAAACAAATAAACGGCCTCCAACTTTGTTCTGAGCCGCAGCCATCCCTCCACAAAGTCGCTTCAGCTATAAGGACAGTGGGCTGTAACTGGTTGGAGCAGTCCTAAATACATGCTGGCTCTTTAATAAACTTTCTTCTTCTTCTTTCAGCTGCTCCCTTCTTCAAAGGTCGTCACAGCGAGAGAACTCGCATGAGGATTTGACAATTGTTTTTACGCTAGATGTTCTTCCTGACCAACCACAGTCATTCACATCACAGGTGGTACATGAGGTGGAACAGAACTGTGTATTCAACGTCCCACTTACACACAAAAAAAAAAAATATATATATATATATAAGTATAAATAAAAAATAAACAGTATATCTGCTAGTGTATATCTAAGATACACAAAGAATAATAGTATAAGTAATGTGTAGTAAACAGCAACTTGAACAAGTACACTGTGAGCAGATGGGTATGAACATAGCAGTTTATGGGTGTTTATTGTTAATGTTAAATTAATGTTGAACCATGTGTGTGAAGTCAGAGATAGGGATGGACAAAATTGGATTTTGGGCCCATATCCGATATGCCAATATGTTAAAACTTATTTGGCCAATAACCAATACAACACCAATATATTTTTCTCCTACACCTACTTACAGAGACTACACAGTTTTCTCTGTGTGGAATTAAAATACTACAGTATTCTGCATGGTCTTTGTCAGTTTGGCTTGTTACCAAATGCAGATGGCAAAAAGGGTCTGTAACTGATGTAACACTTCAACTTGGATTATGTTTATTATCAAATTTATTAATGGCATTTATTCTCTCTAACACAATAACGACACTCGAACAGTGGAAATTTGTAAATTTTCACAAAACTAAACTCAACTTGTTCACAAGAGACAAGTGGAAAGTACATAAGTAGTTGTGAATTAATAGATATACTCGACAGTTTCTCAAATTAAAATTCAACGTAAAACTGAAGCGTTTTATATCAGTGAGTTATTTTGATGGAATGACAAATGTCTGATATTTAACTGCCCTGTGATGGACTTGCGACCCGTCCAGGGTGTCCCCCGCCCCTCGCACAGTGATTGCTGGACATGGGCACCAGCGACCCCCGTGACCCAAAATGGAACAAACGGGTAAAGAAAATGGATGGATGGATGGATGGATGATATTTAACTTTGTCACTAATATCGTCTGATACCGATACCATGCCGATAATAATAATCTTTGTGTGTGGCTCTTTTTTAAGTCAATAAATAATGAGAGGATATCTTTATCCAACAGTAAGATATCAGCAGCATGGATAAAGTGTCAATGTCCAATTAAAGGGGCATTGCAGTGATTATTCTGGTTTGAGATTCATGAGTCTATCAGCCTCAGGGTAGAAGCTGTTCCTCAGTCTAGTGGTTCTACACTCAATGCTCCTCAAACTCCTTCCTGAGGGGAGCGGGGCAAAAAGTGTGTGTGCTGGGTGAGTGGTTTATTATAATGTTAAGACCAGCAGGGGGATTTAAACCGGCAACCTGATCACAAGTTCACTTCTCTATCCTCTGCGCCACCACTCCCACTGGTTTTTTAAGGTTTTTTTTTATTTAAAAAAAGGTCAAATGCTGTTAAACACCAGGTCCATGTGCAGTGTGGTGACTGTAAAGCATGCAGGATGATGCTGACATCCAGTGGTTCATAATTCAAACTGCAGTCAGCAAAAACCTTTTCACAGTCATCAGGTGAAAAGGAGGAACCCAGACCCAGACCAGTGGTTGCAGGAGTTTCAGAGAAACTGAGACGTTTATTTTTTAAACACAACGTCCCAGTGGCTTTTAAACCCCAAAATGATTATTATATATTTATAAATTATTATTATATATATAAATTATATATATATAAATTATAAAGACTGGTTCATCCCAAAGATCCAGTCCCCCGGCACAAACAGAGTATTATTGTGCAGTGTTTCCCCTAGTTAACTTGCCATGACGGGGTGCTCATCTCATCCATGATTTTTGCTGATGGGGGGGACAGAGACATGTCTGAGCGCAACTTGTACTAACAGCTTTGAGCCGGGGCGGGGGGCATTCAACATGAGGGAAGAGGCAATGTGAGTGCTGCCTTTGGCTTTTTAGCTAGAGAGCCTGCATTTTGCAACACTAGCTTAGTCAGTGCCAGGTGAGGGTGGGAGGGGCAAGTTCAGTTTGGTAGGCGGGGTGCTCAGTTCTGTTGATGGGGTGGGGCACCTCACCTGTATAATGGTAGGGGAAACACTGTTGTGTATGCTGTTCAGTGTCAGGAGGGTGATCAGTCTTACATCGGGGAAACTAAACAGCCACTGGCCAAAAGGATGGCCCAGCACAGAAGATCAACATCATCAGGCCAGGACTCTGCGGTCTACACTCATCTCCAGGCCAGCGGTCACTCTTTCAGGGATAAAGATGTTCACATCCTTGATGGAGAGGAACGATGGTTTGAGAGAGGAGTAATCTTTGTGAAAAGAAATCGTCCATCATTAAACAGGGGTGGAGGCCTCCGGGTCCAACTGTCCCCCTCTTACAATGCTGTGATTGCTAGTATCACTCAACCCCCTGTGAATAGTAAACAGCCATCAGTGTGCTAATGATCCATTGTTAGGCTGATGGTCCTTCTTGACCATGTGAGCAGCTGGTTTTGGTTGTCAGCAACAAACTGGATGATCCACTCTGAGAAGGTGCTATTTAAGAGACTGAGCTGAATACAGCACCTCAGACTGAGGAAGTCTTTTGGATGAAAAACTAAACGTTTCTACAATTTTTTTGTTTTTTGAACTCGTCCAGAGGACCTGACAACTGTTTTAGACATGAACGCCTCTCTTACAAACCGGATTCCAAAAAAGTTGGGAAACTAAACAAATTGTGAATAAAAACTGAATGCAATGATGTGGAGATGGCAAATGTCAATATTTTATTTGTAATATAACATAGATGACAGATCAAAAGTTGAATCTGAGTAAATGTAACATTTTAAAGGAAAAATATGTTGATTCAAAATTTCACAGTGTCAACAAATCCCCAAAAGTTGGGACAAGTAGCAATAAGTGGCTGGGAAAAGGAAAATGACTATATAACGAACAGCTGGAAGACCAATTAACACTAATTAGGTCAATTGACAACATGATTGGGTATAAAAAGAGCTTCTCAGAGTGTCAGTGTCTCTCAGAAGCCAAGATGTTAAGAGGATCACCAATTCCACCACTGTTGCGCAGAAAGATAGTGCAGCAATACCAGAATGGTGTTACCCAGTGTAAAACAGCAAAGACTTTTAAGTTATCATCATCAACCGTGTATATCATCATCAAAAGATTCAGAGAATCTGGAACAATCGCTGTGCGTAAGGGTCAAGGCCGTAAAACTCTACTGGATGCTCGTGATCTCTGGGCCCTTAAACGTCACTGCACCTCAAACAGGAATGCCACTGTCAAGGAAATAACAGAATGGGCTCAGGAATACTTCCAGAAAGCATTGTCAGTGAACACAATCCACCGTGCTATCCGTCGTTGCCAGCTGAAACTCTACAGTGCAAAGAAGAAGCCATTTCTAAGCAAGCTCCACAAGCTCAGACGTTTGCACTGGGCCAGGGGTCATTTAAAATGGAGTGTGGCAAAATGGAAGACTGTTCTGTGGTCAGATGAGCCACGATTTGTAGTTCTTTATGGAACACTGGGACGCCATGTCATCCAGACCAGAGAGGACAAGGATAGCCCAAGTTGTTATCAACGCTCCGTTCAGAAGCCTGCATCACTGATGGTATGGGGTTGCATGAGCGCTTGTGGCATGGGCAGCTTGCATGTCTGGAAAGGCACCATTAATGCAGAGAACTATGTTCAGGTTCTAGAACAACATATGCTCCCATCTAGACGTCATCTCTTTCAGGGAAGCCCCTGCATTTTTCAACACGATAATGCCAGACCACATTCTGCAGCAATCACAACATCATGGCTACGTAGGAGATGGATCCGGGTACTGAAATGGCCAGCCTGCAGTCCAGATCTTTCACCTATAGAGAACATTTGGCGCATCATAAAGAGGAAGGTGCGACAAAGAAGGCCCAAGA